GGTGATACCAAGCCCGCTCTCATCACTTTCCATTCCCACCCTTTCTTTTATTTGGCAAATGCATTACAATTATTTGGCCTAGAGAGAGTCTTCATGTAGAAAACCTATTCTAATTTTCTTTGCTTAAAGAGAGCTTCAGGCAAATGTATGATGAACGTGGAGGGTTTTAAATAACCAGTGGATGCTTGTGTTGAGATAGTTTTACAATCTGTCAATAGGACAGTGCTAACCACATACAAATAAGCAGCAGGATGGTTTTTTCCCACTGAACTTGTGAGCAGGGTGGCATGACATGTAGGTTCCTCTGTGCTCTGTTCTAACTGGGAAGCTCATCTGACAGAAAGAGTGAACCTCTTTGTTAGAAAAAGTCTTAATTCTTGATATCAATCTCCTCACCCCCCTTGCCTACCTTTTGATCTATCTTTCATTTTATGTAATGAGACGTCCTGGATTTTTACATCGGTTAAGGGCCATTTCCCAAGAGACAAAGACGGCACACTTTTGAAGAAAAGCATTTTCGAATTCCACATATACTCAGCCTTGACAGCAGGCACGGGAAAAGTGTCTAAAGAAGAAAGAACAGCGTAGGACTAGCGTTTTCTTCTTTGAAACTAGATTTAGCCCTGAAAAGCAACCATTATGTGGATGAGAGGGATGGAAAAGAGAACCAGGAACCAGAGGACTCTGTAACGGGTGTGACTGAGGGAGTCTCTCTAAGATAAGTTTATGGCTTGAGTCTCAGATAGTTGAACTTGCAGGAACAAAGCATGTGCGTTCTAAAGATATAGACTGTGCTTAGTTTTCATTCATGACTTATTTTGTTTAAATACAGCCCCATCAGACACAGGGGATGAGAATGGGCCTCTGAGATTTACCATCTGTTCACTGATTTGGAATCTGCTGGACAGAAAAGTGGTGGGGGCTCGGCACAAAATCCTCTCATCAGAAATATAAACTTGGGGGCTTCCCTGGTGGCGCAGTGGTTAAGAATCTGCCTGCCGATGCAGGGGATATGGGTTCGAGCCCCGGCCTGGGAAGATCCCACGTGCCGCGGAGCAACTAAGCCCGTGCGCAACAACTACTGAGCCTGCGCTCTAGAGCCGGCGAGCCACAGCTACTGAGCCCACGCGCCACAACTACCGAAGCCCGCACGCCTAGACCCCGTGCTCTGCAACAAGAGAAGCCACCGCAATAAGCAGCCTGTGCACCGTAACAAAGAGTGGCCCCGACTCGACACAACTAGAGAAAGCCTGCACACAGCAACAAAGACCCAATGCAGCCAAAAATTAATTAAAAGCAACAGCAGAGGTGAATGCCCACAAGTGCCTTTCCTCTTGCCTTCAGAACAGACAAGGTATTGTACCCCGTAGTGGTTGGTCCAGTCTTTGGTTTCATGGTTTTCTGCTCCTTTGGCCAGAATATTGGCCGGTCCTTTTCAGAAGTTGTAATTATCACACATTTTGCCTTTAGGGCATGAAGGACCAAAGAAGCTTCAAGACTGGAAATTGTGGGTTTGCAAACAGCAGGCCACGGGGTTCAGCTTTCAGGTTTATACCATCCACCAGCAACTGATCTATTCTCTTCAGAAACACAGAAGTGAGCCCAATGACTCCCTCTGTGTTCCTATCAAAACTTTTAAACAACAACAACTTGATTGCACCCTTCTCCCAGAAGGAACTCTGCACATGAAAGACATAAAGCGTTTCATAGAGCAGAACATTCTTTGAAAACTCAGGGCAGAAGAAAGCGCTTGCTTAAGGAACTTAATTGAGAGAAACAGTGTAGCCTGGACAGGGCTGCCTGAGTTCAAAGGCACCGCTTTTAATCCCAAACCACTTTAATTTTACTTAACATTTCTTTCTTTCTGGGTGACTAACCTGGAAACTTCTACTCATCTCCTGCCAAGTAGTTTTTCTGAAGAAGGTAGATACTTTACAAGATTCATAGCCAGCAGCCCTCTGTCAGGAATGCTGGAGGTGCGGTTTTGTGTAGATAAAAACAGAGGCACAAGGAAAGTGGGTCATTGTGATTTGCGTGTGGAACAGACTCATTCTCCGGCAAGTTTGCTCCGACTGGAAGCAATAAGGCGCTGGGCCTTCCTTAAGTTTGGAAATGGAATGCCTCTGGCAGCCCATGATCTTGGAGAGGGGAGCTGAGTGTTTTCATAGCTGGGATTTTGTGTTAGTGGAACAGGTAGAATGTCAACTGTTGTGAGGAAAGTCAACCAGTTCGCACACATGCAGCTGGAGAGAAAGCTCAGCTTCAGATATCATTTAACATGTTGGTGGATGAACAAGAAGGCGGCAGAAATGGCCTCTCGCAGCCAAGAAGCCTGTGGTTATTGGAAAAATCGCGGTAGCACAATTCTTCTTGCTTTCACTGCTAGGACAAGGAAGGACATTCTTTCAGACTTTCACACTGAGCGATTTTTCCTATGACCCATTTCGGAGTTAAAGAACTTATAAAATGGCCACGCCTGATACCTTCCACAGAAGTAACTTCTTGCAAACAGCAAACAGTGAGATGGGCTGGCCTTTATTGGCAGGCCTATCTTCATAAAATGAATGGTGAGAATCACAACATTTATTATTGTGATCATCCTAATAATGAACACAGATCAATTGTGCAGTCATTTACTTTCTTGGTATTTATTCTCTAGGGGGAAAACATGGACTGATTAAGATGATTGTACCCTCTCCTTTTTGTGACTTCCGGTCTGTTCATTATTTATTTTTGAGGGACCAGAATATTAGTATTAATTGGCTCTGATAGAGTGTTCCACAAGAGTTAAGAAAAAAACATATAATCTGGTTTATTAAATGTTGTATGGACATTATTTAGTGCACTCTCCTTGAAGGCTGGCACTATTGAATACTAACTGAAAATCAACTAGCAAATAAACCCATCTTAACATGGCATAATCATGAGCCAGTCAAGAAAATATATCACCTCACACCCATTAGGATGTGGCTACTATTGAAAAAGTCACAGATGTAGAGAACAAACGTATGGATACCAAGGGGGAAGGGGGGGATGAATTGGGAGATTGGGATTGACATATATACACTATTGATACTATGTATAAAACAGATAACTAATGAGAACCTACTGTATAGCACAGGAAACTACTCAGTGCTCTGTGGTGACCTAAATGGGAAAGAAATCCAAAAAAGAGGGGATACACGTATATGTATAGCTGATTCACTGTGCTGTACAGTAGAAACTAACACAGTATTGTAAAGCAACTATACTCCAATAAAAATTTTAAAAAAAAGAAAAGAAAAAGTCAGAAAATCACTGTTGGCAAGGATGTGGAGAAACTGGAAAACATGCATTGTTGGTGGGAATATAAAATGGTACAACTGCTAGGGAAAACAGCTCCTCAAAATATTAAAAACAGAATTAGCACATAATTCAACAATTCTACTTCTGGGTATATACCCAGAAGAATTGAAAGCAGAGTCTCAAAGAGTTATTTGTACACCCATGTTCATAGTAGAATTATTCACAATAGCCAAAAGGTGGAACCAACCCAAATGTCTACTGATGAATGAAAAAATAAACACAATGTGTTATATACATATAATGGGATATTATTCAGCCTTAAATAGGAAGGAAATTCCGACATGCTACAATATGGATGAACCTTGAAGACATCATGCTAAGTGAAATAAGCCAGCGACAGAAAGACACATACTGTATGACTCAACTTACATGAAGGACCTAGAGTAGTCAAATTCAGAGACAGAAAGTGGAATTGTGGTTGCCAGAGGCTGGAAGGAAGGGGGAATGGGGAGTTGTTTAACGGGTACAGAGTTTCAACTGGGGAAGATGAAAAGGTTCTGGAGATGGATGGTGGTGATGGTTGTACAACAGTGTGAATGTATTTAATGCCACTGAACCGTACACTTAAAAATGATTAAACTTGTAAATTTTATGTTACATATATTCCTTCAGAATAAAAAAAATAAAATATTAGATCAGGAAGTTACCTTAAAAAAAAAAGAAGTATAAAGTGGGGGTAACAGATACCTGATGCTGCCTTCAGTAGATATATTCTCTTATATCCTGTTAAATCATCATTTCCTGTCTGCCCTAGGAGCCAAGGAAGCTTTCTGGGGGTGTGTTGTAAATTACTTCAGGCCCACACCTTCTCTTGCCCCTTGTCTGAGAAAGAATTCACTGCTCCCCTGTCCTTCCCCACCCCTCCCTCCTTCCATACATCCTCACCTTTGCGGTAGGGGTCAACAAGAGAAAACTAGAACCATTTGACTGTATGTCCATATAAAATGGTGTTAACAAGTTGTCTTTTATCACCTCGATAGAAGGACTATGGAGAGGGAAATTAAAGGTGCAGGGAAGGACGGTACCGGAAAACTCTAGAACCTTGAGCTGATTTTGCCTCAAAGGCTTTGTGTCAAATTAGCACGATGACCCTGTGATCAAGAGACAGGTGAAGACTTCCCAGGGAAAGGAGCTTTAATGTTAAGGGGAGCTTAATGACAGTTTAGTTTGCTTTCAGGTAAGAGCTGTCCCTGGGAAATGTGGTTATGTGGGATTCAAGATAGTTTTGGCCCAGGTGGGTGGTGGTGGTGGTTGTTTTTCCTCCTCTTGTTTCAAAGGAAATTACGCAGACTAAGAGACAACTGAACTGTTTCCTTACCCCTCACCAAATTTACCCTTCACTGAATGTCAGGATTCAAGCCACTGCCGATTTGGGGAGGAAGCTGAACCCCGGACATCATTCTGGCTTTGAGAGCGGTGCCTGCGGTCCACTTCTAAACCTTCTCTAGATACGTTTTCATATTCCATGATGAACAGAGATGAGGGCTCTGTGTTCTTTACACTAGAGCCAGGGCAATCGATGCGCCGGCGTCAAGGGCTACCTCTGCAGACTGAGAAGATGGGACCCCCTCTTGCTCACCCACGAAGAGACGCAGAATGTAGTTCTGCTTCGAGAAACATCCTTGAACTAACTCGTCTCTCTCTATCCCTCCAAGCTTCCGCAGGTTCACTCGATCCAACAGTGTGACGACGGCCGTGCAGGCCGACCTGGACTTCCACGATAACCTGGAGAACTCTCTGGAGTCTACAGAGGACAATTCATGCCCCGGCCCGGTGGCCAGACAGTTCTCCCGGGACGCCAGCACCTCCACGGTCAGCATCCAGGGCTCAGGAAACCACTACCACGCCTGCGCGGCCGACGAGGACTTCGATGCGGATTTCGACCCTTCCATTCTGCCGCCCCCAGACCCCTGGATCGACTCAATCACCGAAGACCCCCTGGAGGCCGTGCAGAGGTCAGTGTGCCACCGCGACGGCCACTGGTTTCTGAAGCTTCTCCAGGCGGAGCGGGACCGCATGGAAGGGTGGTGCCAGCAGATGGAGAGAGAAGAGCGCGAGAACCACCTGCCCGACGACAGTAAGTGCGGCGCAGCGCCTGCGCACGCGCCCGGGGTCGGGTCCCCGGGGCCGGGGAGGGGATGCTTTCATAGCGCTGGGCAAGCCGTGCAGGTCCCCACCCCAAACGGGTACGTGTGGAAGAGCTGGGCGATTCGGGCAGAGTCCACACACCCCTGGTGCCCAATAAAGACCCCACACACACACACACACACACGCCAGGCAGCTGTAACACCTTCTCTACCTCTGCCTCTGCGACCTCCACCTCTGGACCAAGGTGGGGTGGACTCATGCTTCCGACGCGGTTTCTCTTCCCCAAGATGCTCCCGCAGTGGTGCTGCTTCTCAGGGAATGAACAGAAATTCTAATTAGTTTCAAGATCCCCAGATACGCGTGCCTTGGGCATTTATAATCTTACAGGTGTATTACTTCCATTAACATACAGGATTAAAACAAGGCCGGTCGTGTCTAGGCCTGTAGACGCCAAGCTTAGTGACATCCTTGGACCTGGTTAGTCCGCACTTTCCCCCTTACGTTTTAGGAAGGCAAACCTTCAGCCGCTAAAGCAATTAACCCAATTTAATGGATTAAAGTAAATGATCAAATAAAGGATGGTTAAGTTAAATAAATAACGGTGACCCCGCACACCGTTCTTTTCAGACTTGGCCTTTTAACAACAACGGTTCCTATTAACAGTTGACAAAGAAGTTGCCAGATTACTGCAGTCCGGTTGCACATTAATAACAATTTTGAAATTGGAATAGCATTTATAATCAGTGTGTATTTCATTGTTGCGTGTTTATTTCCCTCCGAAAAACGATTATTAAATGAATGGTGGATCTTCCAACCGATGATATTTTTGAATCAGAGAAATTCAGTGGTAGGCATCAGAGCCTGCCTTCATTTTTGTGTGGGAACCACCTGGAAGAGTATCATCGTGATGTGGTTTTAGACCTTTTTTTTTTTTTTTTTTTTTTTTGCGGTACGCGGGCCTCTCACTGTTGTGGCCTCTCCTGTTGCGGAGCACAGGCTCCGGACGCGCAGGCTCAGCGGCCATGGCCCACAGGCCCAGCTGCTCCGCGGCATGTGGGATCTTCCCGGACCGGGGCACGAACCCGTGTCCCCTGCATCGGCAGGCGGACTCTCAACCACTGCGCCACCAGGGAAGCCCTAGACCTATTTTTAAAATCATTTAACTTTTTATTGTGAACATTTAAAAACACTTGCAAAAGTAGAGAGTTTACTGTAATGAACCCCCATATTCCCATCACCCAGCTCAACTACTGGCTGGTCTCATCTTCACCCACTTGTCATCATTTTCGCCAGAGGATCTTAAAGAAAATCCAACGCATCCCGTCACTTCACTACGTATCTCTGATAAGGACTTTATGTATACGTATATAACCATCGTGCATTATCATCCCTAACAAAAACAATAATAATTTCTTAATAATTAGATCGAGAGCTTTCTGTAAATCATGTTCAGTTGACTTACTAAGTGAACCAAACTCATTGTGTCCGGGAGCAGTGAGTTTTCCGTACAGGATGTACTTTTGTGAGAATGGAGACTGGAAAGTTTGCAGGTTGTGGGATTTCCGCACTGTGTCTTGGTCACAGCTCTTCTCTGCTTTTTCTTGCTTCTGACCCCTATCCACCCGCTGACTAACTTATTTGTTGCCTTTCTGAGCAGGTTAGAAAATCCATCAATGGGTTTCTGCAATGTTCCTTTTGTTCTTGCATGTTATGAGTGCAAACAACTTAGCAGTGGAAAAGTAAACCTCCTTGACACTTGACCCAACCGTTGGTGCCACTGCAGGCTCACCCAGGTGTGGATCCACAGGGAGAATATGCTCTGTGCCTAGGTGACAGGGGTGTGAAGCACAGCCCGGCAGCAGTGTGGGGGGGGGGGGTAGTTTTCGGTAAGAAATTCTTAGCAGTTGCATCTTTTTATTCTCCTTTCCCCGTGGGTATACCCAAAGCCTAGTAGCTTTTCCTGGAAAAAAATGTCCATGTCTAAGGAGCAGTGGCCTCGGGTGCACAGCTCAACAGGGCAAGCTGTCTTGCAGATTTCAGTTCGTGCAATGCACGCGATCCATTCGAACTGGTTCTGGCTTCCCTGCTTGGCTTCCAATAAGACCTGCGGAAGCTGCTCATCTGGTGTTTTCTTTTAATCTGATGTTTTCTTCCCATCTGAGACTAGATCTGCTTCTCTCAACCCAGCTTTATAATGATGCATGAGGATAGTCATCGTATAAATATTTAGAAAAGTCTTCCTTAACACTTAAGGAGCTATGAAAACAAGTCAATGTATTTTGATACAAGCACGTATATTTGGAAGGTGAAAACCTTGTTAGAAAATCAGGTTCTCATCCTGTGTTTGAGATGAAAGAGAAGCATATTTGTAGCTTGAACATGAAGGAACTGCTCATTCATTCACTGTTCCAGAATTTTACTTCGGATGTTATTTGAAATATTGATTTATAAATAGGACTTATAAACCTATTCCATATGAAGGGATTTTGTTATAACAAGATTTGTTCTAATAATAATTTGCTGTCTTTGTACACGAAGGTGCCGCTGTCCCACCATGAATAAGCCGTCTTCTTAAGGACGCTGTCTTTAGAGTAGTGATAAATTTTCTCAGATCTGCCTCTGTTTTACGAGGTTGCTGCCTGAGGGCGGTGGGGGTGTGTGAAGGTCATGGCTGCAGGACAGACAAAGATAACTTAGGGTGGGAGTATTTTTGGTGCTTTGCTTAAAGTATTCAACTGAGTAAATTAATCTTAGATGACAAGTATGCAATGAGACCCGCTGCACTGGGGAGTGAGTCTCCCTGTGTAGTTTGAAACATATTTCGATATCAGAGCCCCCTTTTTCTAAGTTAGAAAAAAAATTACACACAACACCAATAAATATAATAGGAAGAACGGTGAAGCTCTTCGGTGAGGGCCTGGAGTCCTATCTGCTTAGCCTCTACCACTCTCTGGACAGAGGTCCCTGGAAACCCTCCCTGCCACCAAAGAAATCCCAGGATTCCTAGAATAGTTTGAAAGCCAATGGTCTATAGTGAAAAGTCCAACTTACTAATTTTTTTAAATACAATTTTATAACTTTAGATCAAACAGCTAACACAAAGATCAGAGGTAAATGCCTTTCCTACATGGTTTTTTAAATGTACAAAACTGATTCAGATTAGAAACATCTATTTGTGTAAGCCTATCTAAGCTACAAAAATGGCTCTTCCTTCAAGTCTCAGCTTGGGCCTCACCTTCTAGAAGTCTTTGCAGAATGCATCCCTTCAGGCTGAGCTGGGTGTGCCTCCCTGGTGCTTCTGTAATAGCCTGCACATTTGTCTATCAGGTATTTCCAACTTTATTTGATGATAATCTACGTATCTCTCTCCTCCACTGCAAAGTGAGGTCTGAGGACTGAAATTACTCTTGTCTCATTCATCTTCATATCCGCTGCCCCTCTGATGGTTCTTGGCACAGAGTAGGGGATCAGTGAATATGTATTTGAGTCCTGGGACTATTTTGGAAATACTGTTTTACAAAAGTATTTTCCTTAGCAAAATCTTTCTTCCTAAGTAGTTACAAAATATTCAACAGGTAGCTCGCAGCTATTGCTGCCAAAAGCTGGAAGGGGAGGTCCCTTGCGAGGTAGGGAGCCCTGCTTGATCAGAACAGAGATTTGGCAGGGACATGAGCACCTGCCACAGAAAAGCTAGAAAGGACTTGTGTGTCAGTCAGCTGCATGAACTAGATGAACCCACGTGTCCCTTCCAGCTCTTGGGACGCGATTCCATCCCATAAGCACTTGAAAGCTTCCTCTATCTTTCATGCCCTGGATGGTACAAAACAGAAGCTTCCACCCACTAGCGTTCCAGAATTCTAAACAGCGCAGAGGTACACACACATGCCCGGTCAAAGAGTCGCCAATTTCAAATGAGGCAAATGGAAATCAGTGAGGATCTCACCAGAAAGCCGGGAGGGAGGGAGAATATAAACCGGTGAAAGAACATCCATCTTGTCCTTACAGTCCCCTGGGCCGTGGGCTATAGGCTTTGACAGGTGTTGTTTTATTTGCCCTCACAACAGCTCTCTGGCAGTCCCTCCTCCAAGGTCACACAACACAGAAGCGCCTGATGGAATAGATACAACACGAATAACATTTGACAAGATAATGATACTTTGTGTGTGCTTGGCTGCTCTAAAGCTCTGCATACATATCTGTCCCTGCTTCCTTGGCAACCACAGTCCTGTTCTGATAAGTGGGCCTGGAGTTGCAGAGGGCCTTTGTTTTTACTAATTCTCTCATTTAACCTTTGCTTTTTTTTATAAGGGGGGGGGGGGCGAGTGGTAAGGAAGAGGGGCCAATCCGGTTTAGCAGGCATAGCCAATGCCTGAGTAACTAGCTTAAAAAAAAAAAAAAGTCTGTGTACACTCAGAAAAATAGCTTTGATAAATGGGTCAAACGCCGATCTGTCCCTTGGCCAGGCCACCTTATGTGTCCTTTGGGTCCTAGATAGGAAGGTCTCTTCAGGGTACATGACGACGGTGGGTCCGGGACAGATACCTGCCAGGAGAGCTGGTCTTCATCCTCGGAAGGGAAAGATAAGGATAGGGTGGAAGAAAGGAACGAGTCTAACCACACCTGCTTAATTTATTTCGTGGGGCCCCGGAATTATTCCAAATTTTCAATATTTTTAAACGTTTGGTGACTGCTTAATGCCTCTGAACGGCCCACTTAAAAACTGTTAACATGGTAGATCTTACGTACATTTTACCACACACACAAAAATATCCACCCCACTGCCCCCCAGAAAAAGTCTGCGGCAGCTGAAGGTAGATGGGTCAGGCTTGCTGTCTTCACGTCCAGAGTTATTCATCACGCTTATAAGAATGTAAGGTATTTTGTTAAGTATCTTCCTGAATTCAAAATACAACATGTCCACTGGCAGGGGTGGGGGAGAAGTTAGGAAGAGAATTCATGTGCTCAGTGGGAACCTGAGTTTCAGATCTG